TAACTCCTATCTATTATTTTTCTCCTTTACCTACTCATGACAGGATGGGTGAGAGAGATAGAAAGATAAATAGAGATAGAATATTAAACACTCACTCCCAACCTAGTGAGTTTTCCTGAGTTCCAAGCGTACATTTCAAACTGCACATTTGTATATCTTCTTAGAGATCTCACAGGGATTTCAATTTTAACTTACATGAAACAGAGTTCATTTCTGACACTTTTATCCTTCTCTTTTATTTTCTCTCTCATATAATATTGTCACCTTTACTCAATGGCTTACGCTGGCCACCCACCCCTTTCTCACCCTCAAGATAAGTCCCTATCCATTCATCAACCCCTTCTGTCTTCATCATCACTTTCTTTAATCAGGCTTTCAGATATTCTCATCTCTTCACCTGGACTTTGGTACCAACATCCTGATTTGTCCATCTGTCCCCAGAAGTGGAGATTCTTGTCACTTTCACACTGACATCCAGATAACTCTTCTGAGCAACTAATCCAATCCTGTCTCATGCCATCAGTTGCAAACTCCCCATAATAGTTAAAACAACAAATTTAAAAAAAGATATCTAACTCTTTCTGCCCTTCATTCACCATCCAACTCTTTCTGCCCTTCATTCACCATCCACATCACCACTCTGAGCCACCACTGGTCCTTCTCCTGGTTTCCATGTTCCCTTAAGCTGACGCCTCTATGGGAGTGGCCACTTGGCAATCTCACCCATAAAGATTCCAATCTGTAAACATGGTTCTCCTTTCTATCCTCATTCCACATCCCTTTCCCCCAGAATTTATCACCTCAGTCTGTGATTGCTCATTTCCTTCCTCACCTCCCTCCCAACACTGGACTATGGGCACCCTGAGGACACTGCTTTTCTATTGGTTCATTTTGTGCCTGTTTTATCTAGCAAGTGTCACTTATGGATTCAATAATTATTTGTGGTTTCAACAACTATTCAATAAACATTTATGAGTGACACTAAATGAATGAAAGCAGTGAGATATTTTAAATAAGTATTGCCTTGCATTTACAAAATCCCTGTTAATTAGAGACCAATCCATATTGCCCATATTTCCCAAATGCTGCCTGGCCTTTAATGATCCAACCTCAGAAGTTATATAGCATCAATTCCACTGTACTCTATTCGCCAAGTATTTGTAAGGCCACATAGAGTCAAGGGGAGGTTATACAGACTTAAACCCTCAATGGGAGAAATCCCCAAAATCTGATGCCACTTTAAACCCACAGTCACCAAAGGACACTAATGAACTAAATTACTTTGAAAATATATAAATAAAAGACTCACTTGTCCTGCTTCTCTGAAACAAACTGTATAACTTGGTAATCAAAGAGTGTGCTCAGTCATCTCCAACTCTTGCGACCCCATGAACTGGAGACTGCTAGACCCTTCTGTCCATGGAATTTTTCAGGCAAGAATACTGAAGCAGGTTGCCACTTCCTACTCTAGGAGATCTTCCCGAGCCAAGGAGCGAACTCACATTTCTTGTGTCTCCTTTATTAGCAGGAGGATTCTTTACCACTCGGCCACCTGGGAAACCCCAAAAGTTGTGGCACATGGGCTTAGCTGCTCTGAGGTATGTGAGATCTTCCTAGATTTGGGATCAAATCTGTATCCCCTGCATTGACAGGCAGATTCTTAACCACTGAGCCACCAGGGAAGCCCCCAACCAAGCAGTAGGTGTAGGAAAACCTCCTCCTTATAGAAACACCCCAGTTAACAAATGAAGAAAAGAGTCAGAATATCACTGCTGTGCAATCCCTGATGATTCCTGGATCCTGACATTGATCATCAAAGACTATTATCGAGACAGAGAGAAAGAGAACCAGACATTACATACCCTCCTTTGGAAAAGTAAAACATTACTTACAAAAGATATGTGGAGAAATATGCATCTAATGAATCTATATCCAACTATCAACTTAGCGAAAACAGGTAAAAGAGAAGAGCACATTATTGAGACCCTGTGGACATTATCAGTACAGTTCAGACTCAGGGAAACTTCACAGGACAAATAGCATGGTCTCTTTAATAGATAAATGAAGAAAAAAAGAAAAGAGAGAGATGTGTGCTACAAAGACTTAAGGGTCATAGCAACTAATCACCACAAATGTATTTTATTTGAATCCAGATGAAAATGAACGAGCAAGAGAAAACAAATGACATCTGCAAGACAATTAGAAATTCAGCACTGAGTAGATATTTAGTAATATTAAGATGCTATTGTTTTTGAGATGGCATGATTGTATTCATAAAAGAAGTCTTATTTTTAAAAAAATTCAGAAATATTTACAGGTAAAATTATATAATGTCTTAGATTTACTTCAAAATAATGTAAGAGAAGAGACCATAGTTGGAGACAGAAATAAGACTGCACATAAACTGATAATAGGTTAAGTGTCACCTGCCAATGCAGGAGACATAAGAGACACTGGTTCGATTCCTGGGTCGGGAAGTGCCCCTGGAGAAGGGCACAGCAACCCATTCCAGTATTCTTGCCTGGAGAATCCCATGGGCAAAGGAACCTGGAGGGCTACAGTCCATATGGTTGCAGAGTCGGACATGACTGAAGCGAATCTCCATGCACGCATGCATGAGGCTAGGTGATAGGGAATGAGAGTTCATTGTGCTATCAGTTTCTCCAGTGAACATTTCCCATAACAAATATTTATTTTGAAAACACATTTTACTGATGCCCCAAAGTCACAACTCCTAGGTAAATTCTCTAACGCACTTTGCGATATCACCACTGCCTGCCTCTCCAGGACCATCTGCATCACTTTTGCTTTTCACCTATTTTTAAGCTACATAAAACTGACTGTAGTCTGCACAGAAGACTGCGATCTCCCAGACTAACAAGCATCTATACATTTCCTTTTGTCAAGAATGCCAAGCCCCATTCTTCTTCACCTGGCAAAATTCATTCATCCTGTCACATTTCTTATTGCCAATTACAAGTCTCAGGTTCTCTGCTGTGGATCAGTGATACACTAGACTGATGGATACCAGCCACCTGCCATTCCCACCTGACAGATGCTCCACCCCTTCCCTGCCCTCTTCCCTGCCCTGTGAAACTGACCCAGTTAGACTGTTTAATGGCTGGAGAGCAAGAACTGTACTGATGTCTCTGGCTCTCTCCCTGCCAGGCTGGCACAGGATGACTGCTTTCACTTCAACACTACTCCTACCAGGTGGTCCTTCCTAAGTCATTCTTTTCCTGGTACAGCTGATTGCTTCCTTGCCTTTGCATCTTCAGCTCAGGAATACCCCACCCTCCATTGTCGCTTCTCATAAACCTAGTGCATTATTTGTAAAGAGTCCATCCATTAAATTCTTCACTAATTACCAGTTTCACTCTGCCTTCTCCTTCTTGTTCAGACTTTAACTATATAACTGTAAGCAGAAACAACCCAAACCAAAGAAAGACTTCTAAAAAGAACCTAACACAGATATAGACTGAAAAGTTATATAAGATGAAGAGGTAAAGAACGTTTGAGATAAGCAGCATATGCAATGGTCCTGTGGTACAAAGAAGCAAAGGATGTCCAGTGCTATAGTTGACCTGAAAGGCAACAAGCTAAAAGCACAGAGGGCAGTGGTAAAGGATGGAGATTTGGAAAGAAACTCAATTTTGCAGTAATGATTTAGTTTGTGATATTAAGAGTAATGGGAAAGTGTCTCATATTCTCCCAGCCCTCACAGGCCTAGGTAAGGGATCATCTTCTTTTAGCCATTCCTTGACAGCCTTCTACAGCTCAGCCAGAACTAGGAAACTCTCATGGCAAAAATTCAATACATTTTCACTGGATTAGTGAATAAATGAATGAGCAAAATAACACATGACCAGGTTTGCGACTTTCTCAGGCACCTCCAAACATTCTTCCTTGCACATACCCTACCTGGACTTATTCCTATTTGTTCTTGGCTGAGTCTTTATCTATAATTAACATAAAGACTTGTGGAGAGAAAGAGTTATATATGAGCTATGTACAATCTTGAAAATTAGATCATTCCCAGACCAATCTTTTACACTTAATGACCATTTCACTCTAGACACATCAAATGTAATGAGCAACATCACCATCTCAGGAGATGGACATTCTTTTCATAATCACAAGAGTTTATTCTGTTAAATCTCACCAATTCAAGGTGATGGAGGGAAAGTCCATGAGATGGATGAAAGAGAGAGTTGTTTTAGGTTGTTTAGAACAAGAAATACAACCTTTTAACCTTGAGATATAACAGCACGAACTATGTGCTAGCCAAGTACAAGAAGAAGCTTTATTTTCATTTGCTTTACAAACTGATAGTATGGCTGATCTATATCTGATAAAATGATAAGCAAACTTTTAGTTTCTTTATCATTCAATAATAAGTTAAAACACGAGGCTAAAACCTGCTTGTTGACTGACCTTATATTATACACTTACTTGTCTAATGCCAGGAACCAAAATTAAAATGCAAGGTGATCTCAATACTGGCAAGTGAATATTCATTAATGTCATAAGAAGTCTTTCTATATTCAGATATTCTGTGATAATGGAGATGCCCATCTTATGCTTAAGTGGGCAAAATGGAGGTGAATGCAAATGACCATGTTCTTTTTTATCTAAACTTGAGTCTTCCATGAATCAGCAAAGTATCAAATGGCAAGGTTTCTACATCAATGTTGGGATATGTTTGTGGCATAATGCTATGTAATTAACATAAAAACTTTGGATTTCATTCTGATAGAAAATATCAGGAAAAGTAACAAATAATATTCATTTACCTTTGAAGTTCAAGCAAATATGCATCAACTGTTTTTAGTGACACAAAGAATGACTTTGTTTTTGGCTTCCCCTATCAACTCTACATTGCATACAGTTCATAAGTTGATAAGCCAGGAGACAACATTATACCAAAATCTTGTAAAAGGAATAAACTCCCACTGTGACTAAAACGCATTTTGCTTCAATAAAACAGATGTATTGCTCACCAAAGATGCCATGGTGAATCCAATGACTTCAATATAACCATCATCATGACGCTGAGGTTCAAAGTCATGGTGATCTCCTGGGTTCCCCCAGGGCATTGTGCCAGCACAATATCTGCAAGAGAAGATATTAGTATCTGCTATAAATATCTGCTATAAGTATCTGCTATACTAATTTATAGCTCGATTTGATGTTGATTTCACAAAAGAACAGCTTTCTACTCTTGGTTCATGTCTCCACATAGAAAATGGGCTTATCCCCTACTCCTCCAAGTATCAATTTATGATAATGGGTCAAAATTCGACAACAAAAGCATTCCATGGTGTCCAACTTTCTACTAATTCATTATTTATCAACTTTTTAAAAAATTTGTATTGGAGTATAGTTGATTTACAATGTTGTGCTACTTTCTACCGTACAGAAAGAGAATCATCGATAGCATACATCCATCCCCTCTTTTTTTCCCTTGGACTTCAGAGATCAAACCAGTCAATCCCAAGAAAATCAATCCTGAATACTCATAAAAAGGACTGACGCTGAAGCGCCAATACTTTGGCCACCTGATGGGAAGAGTCGACTCATAAGAAAAGACCCTGATGCTGGGAAAGATTGAAGGCAGGAGGAGAAGGGGGTGACAGAGGATGGGATGGCTGGATGGCATCACTGACTCGATGGACTTGAGTTTGAGCAAGCTCTGGGAGATGGCGAAGGACAGGGAAGCCTGGCGTGCTGCAGACCATGGGGTCACAAAGAGTCAGACATGACTGAGTGATGAACAACAGTGGCAATCCCCTCTTTTTCGACTTTCTTCCCATTAAGGTCACCACAGAGCTTCCAGTAGAGCCCCCTGTGGTATACAGGAGGTTCTCATTAGTTATCTGTTTTATACACAGTGTCAGTAGTGTGTTTGTGTGTGTGTGCATCTTACTCTATAATTCACATAGGCCTACTTTCCATGACATTCCATGAGTTATCAATAGGTGGTTCCAGAATTTGGTCTTGGAGGAAGACATATACATGCCAGTAAGAGAGGAAAAGAGAATCGAGGTGGGTAAGCCTCAGTACTAAATACATAACTAAGACAATGAGTACCCCAGGATGGGGGAACAGTAACTGAAGACAGAGGGGTGAAAAAGGGATGAGACAAAGATGTGAGATCAGAAAGGGAAGGGGAAGTCAGGGAAACTGAAAAGTAGAATAAACGAAGTCCAGAGGGGAGATGGGAAGGAGCAAGAAGAAGAATGAGGAGAAGAAAAGAAAATTAAAGCAAGCTAACAAACAATGTTTCCTAAGAGTCTAGGCCCCCAACTTCAACGACTAAGATGAAAATACTTCTGGAATAGGTTGTAAGGGGCTAAACCTAGCATGGCCAAAAGTCATCAGGAGACTATGCTTCCCCAGACATAGATTTATATACACTTCTCATTTCAACCAAATTCAGTCTAAATAGAACTTACTTGTGGATTTTTGTGTCTGAGTTGTCTGGTTTGCAAACAAGAGTCAGAGATCCATCCCTTTCAAAATCTTGGCTTTGGAGCCTAGAATCTAAATTTAAGCCGACTGAGAAATGTGCTTATTTTGAGACTAGTTAATCTTAAATACCCCTTTCTCCTGAGGTATATAATAGCACCAAAGAAAGTTGATATTCTGGCTAGAAAATGCTGCTCTAATTGATCCTATTTTTTCAAAGCAATCATCTGGCAACGATTTTGAATGAATTCCATGCTGAAATCAGGCTGGAAGGTTTCCTAATAGCTTTTGGGAAACTAAGAACACGTATTTATTCAAGTCCATCATTCCTGGGGAGGGTGACAGGGTGGGAGGGGTCAGTAATTGAGAATTACATTAAAATGTCTCAGCTCAGAGGGCTGCCTGGGTTTCTTAAGGATGGGTAAGTATACACCATGCATGCTACACCACATACATGAAAAAATATCACAGAGAACATTAAACAAAGCAAGCAGGAGAAAAAATTATCAGGCCTGGAGACTCTTAATAAGTCATTAAAGTAACTATTTTTCATCGCTTGTACCTGGAAATTTTCCATCATGAAAGCAGAGAACCTTAGGTCAAACAGGGTTCACATCAAACCAAGGAAAACAATAAGAACAGGGCTTACCTGGGTATATTTAAAAATACTATACACTGGAACTTCAGTTCCTGGATCTTTGGGGTAAGATCAGTCCCATCACACTGCAACAATCAAAGCAGAAAAAGCAAGGGTTTTGAAGCGGGTGCAAGTCTACAAGACAACTGAGCTGACAAGGGCAGGTACCAAAGTCTAACCCTTGTCCTTGTCTCTGTTGACATGCATGGCCATTACTATGACTGAAAATGTGTTCTAACTTCCCCAGCTCCAGAGTTCAGGGCTTGGTTTTGCTTTGACTTCATGTAAAAACAAAGCTGCCATTTGACCAAAATGTTTTTCTCTGGTCTCACAATCCAAGGAACTTTCATTATTCTTAACCTTGGACGGTGATTAGATACTTTGGCTTGTAGTATCAACACTAAAAGATTTAGGTGGGTAGGTAGGTTTAGTCGCTAAGTTGTGTCTGAATCTTGTGACCCCGCGGACTGTAGCTCACTAGGCTCCTCTGTCCATGGGATTTCCCAGGCAAGAATGCTGAAATGGGTTGCCATTTTCTTCTCCAGGAGATCTTCCTGACCCAGGGATTGAACCCGGGTCTCCTGCATTGCAGGCAGACTCTTTACCAACTGAGCCACCAGGGATTGCAAGATATTGAATATAGTTCCCTGTGTAAATCCTTAAAAGATTTATGAACACTTAAAAGAATAAAAGGACAAAGCCTCAAGATGAGGCAGTAGTAACCTCTACCACCATCATCTGATTCAAAAATAGTCACACATATGACCATTTATTTTCCTTGCTTTTTGAGATAATTTGTCTTTGGAAAATGTTCAATGTAATATTTTGAAAGCAGTTTGAAAGGAATATATCCTGCATGCTTTTTTCCCCCTAACTATTTATTATAAATTAGCATTATCTCCATTAGTGATTTGCTCCTATCAGTGTAATCTGTTATAGACTGTGACTGGTCTTCTGAGATGAACCACTTCATTGGTTCTGGGTGTGACTTTGGGTTTCAAGGGCCTCAGGCTGGGTTGGCCTCAATACCTTTGGCTTCCCTGACCTGCCTGGGGCTTCACTGGTAGCTCAGATGGTAAAGAATCTGCCTGCAATGCAGGAGACCTGGGTTCCATCCCTGGATTGGGAAGATCCTCTGGAGAAGGGAGTGGCTACCCACTCCAGTATTCTTGCCTGCAGAATTCCATGGACAGAGCCGCCTGGTGGGCCACAGTCCACGTAGAGTCAGACATGACTGAGGAACTAGCACTTTCACTTTGCCTGACAGGTTAGTGCTTTCCTCAAGAGCATCCTCTGACTGATCAAGGAAAGGGCTTTTCGTTTCCCTTGCTCATTTCCCACTGGGGACAAATGCCAAAAGAGGAGCACTTTGGTCAGGACTCTAGGCCTCTTGATGTCAAAGGTATAAAGCCTGTTGTTTATCTGCTCTCCTCACACCCTCATCACAGAATGTACCCCACCCCCACCCCCGTCTTCTCCTTGGGAGACAGGGTTAAAGCAGTCCCAAGATCCTTGCAAATTTCTGAAGTTTTCTTCAGAAGGACTTGCAATCCAGGTTACGATGACTCTGCTAGCCATCAGGGTTGTCTCATTCTCCTCCTCCCAGCTGATCTTAATGCAGCCTAGTTTTCATAAGTATTCTCAAAAACTGTTTCGGGGAAATCTTATAATCCTAAATAAGCAAAATATTCTCAAATGTTATTTAGATCGGAATGAAGTTCTAGACATTGAGCAAAGGTGTTTTCACAACACTTTCAAAATCTTAAACACACATAAGATCTCCCAATTTAAGGACTTGAATTGATAGATGGCTCTACCAGTGAAGAAAAAATGTAGACGTCTTAAATGATCAAAACTGAGTGTTGTAAGCAACTAAAACTTTCACATACACACAAAAAAACCCAGCATGTGATACCTTAATAGTATGCAAAGCAGCACTGTTGCATTACAGCAAAAAACCTATACTTATATATTACTTTATTTAGAACAGAATTAATTTTTTAAAAATTTTCTACTTTTTCCTCCTGAAAAAAACATAGTGATTCTGGGAACTCAGCAAATTCTATGAGGATGGGTGCCTTACAATATTTTACAAAAGTTTCCTATATATTATTGCATTTAAACTTCACAGCTCTTTAGGACCACAGTTTTCAACTGTCTCCCTACTTCAAACACACAAAGGAAAATATTTGCATACAAAAAAATCTTCCTGTGTACAAGCTCGCATGTGGATGAATCGAAACAAGAAGAACACAGGTGAACTAGAGCAAAATAAGGCTATATGTAGGTTTCTGTTATTATCCTCTGGGTGTGTTGTGTGTGTGTCTGTATACAGTATTTGTGCACATATTTTATATTTCTGTGAGATTAGATTATTAACATCAGAAACACTGACTTCACCCCAGGGCAAAGATAAGACAGTCTGCTGTTATGTGTACACCTAATTGCTCTGACTTCCCATCTTTTCGGTCTCAGAGACGTAATTGTAGAAACACCCTTGTGTATTTCTGTGTCATAGCACAATGGTAATTGTTGCTTCAAATGCATGTGCTTTTAGTCATACAGGCAGACCTCATAAAGACAGACCTAGGACTGAATCCCAATTGTTGAGACTTCATTTCTACTGTTTTGTTTTTTTCTTCTCTTCATAAATAAAAGATGATTACACAGACCAATCCACCAGCAATATTACACCTACTGGCTGATATAAAATCTTTTCTAGGTTTCTGGCTGCCACTTTGGCATCTCTGCAGGCTTTTTTTAATCCCTGCCTACAGCCACCCATGCCTGAGACATTTCTCAACAGGAGGCCTGCCAGATGGGAGAGTAAAGCTCTCCGGTGGTGTGGAGACATTCGGGCTTTAATTTCCACCCAGCTGAGTGAGACAGTGGACACCATTCAATAGAGCCACTGGCTCTCCAGGCAGGTGCTACAATGTTCCCAATAATGCAAAAAATACTGGGAGAAGAAGGAAAGCTTATTTTTGGCTGCTTGCAGGCCGCCACAGAAGAAACAGAAGTCTCAGGCAAGGTTGCTGCTTCTTAAATAACCATCATTTTATCAAAATTAAGATCTTCACAGTTTAATGGACTATGTCTCTTTCTCGTATCTAGATTTAAAAAGGGAATATTCCAGTTTTCAAGAATCGCTATGACTAAAGGATACTAGTTTTTCATTAGTATTTTATGAGAACTGAAACACCTGAAAGTGATGTCAAAGGCTATTAGTGGTAATGTCTTTGTTTCCAACAATTTACAAGATTTGTGTCTCCTATATGGTTTATTCGTGTCAAAAAAATTGAATATTTATCTTAGGCTCCTCTGTACTCCTCTTAAATCCATTAGTTTAAGGTAATATTTTTTCTCTATTTGCATGTATACCTTTTATCCTACCCCCTTCTGTCACAAATGCCATTCTTTATCTATTCCACAATAAATCCAAGCATTGCCGTATTCCCCGTTCTTTTTCCTCATCTGTATATTTTTCTCTTTCATGTTTCACTTTACTTACACAGCTATGTGCAACAGAGTCATGTTCATTCCCTCTTTCAACTTGTTTACTTCAAAGAAACACTTTATCTTTCTTAATAATTAATGATATGCTATTTTTAAATATATCTCTTAGAGAAAAGATGATTTCCCATCTTCTTTGCCTCCAAGATGAGTATCCCCCAAACTTGGGACAGAGACTCAGAAAGAAAGAGCAGCCAAAAAAAACTCCTAAGTGGTGAGGTACTTGACCAGGCTAGAGAGTAAATGACCACACGATAATAAAATGAAAGTATTTTTTCTAAAATGAAGACTTTTCAGATAGCCTGGGAATAAAACTAGTTGTTTGGTGAATATCTATTTCTACTTCAAGACCCAGCTCAACACCCTTGCTTTGATGACTTCCCTGACCACACTGGGGGCAGTTTGCATTTCTCCTTTTGTGCCAGCAGCATACGACACAAACAGTCGAATAGCAACATTTATTCTATTGTTCTGCCATGAGTTAGGCACCCTTCAGCATGACCGAACCGTGAGTTTTTTCAGGAGCAAAATCCATCCATCTTATTTAACTTCATCCTCTGTTCAGTGCCCAACACATAACTGAATGCTCCTAAATGCTGGCTGAACACACCAACACACTCAATTCAGTTCAAGTTCTATGCAGCCCACTGATTAAGTACATAAACTGGTATTTGGGGTTTATGTTAGGGACAAGATATTTACATTCAAAAGGAAATGAGTCAACACATGCAATACTTACGACAACTTTAACATGTTTGGATAAATCTCTAGAGCTTCTCTGTAGGAAATCAGAAAAAGCTGCCTATACCACAAGGAAAGAAAGAAAGAAAAAAAAAATGCTTCATTACACAGTTATGCCAAAGCCCTGCTTCTATGTGATAGATAGGTCCTAGGAATTCTGAGTTATGCAAAAATATAAAATATAAAACAAATTCTCTAGAGTAATGTAGTGCAGAGGCTGTCAAGTTGAAAGCTTTCTCTTTGTTTTCAAAATGTAACTTATAATAAAATTTAAGATCGCAGTAGGAGAGAGAAAATGTAGGTAATTTCAAGGGTTAGTTTGGAGACCTGATGGCCTTTCCTGACCTTCCTGTTTATCCAGTAGATGCTGCTAAAATCTTTAAGCCACTGAGACTGTCTTGTTTCACCTCTTTTTTACTTTAATTCCCTCTACCCACTGCTATAAACTTAAGCCACACTTTAAAAATCAGTATTTTGGAGGCCCTCTTTTTTTTTTCTTTCTTTCTTTCTAGCCATTCACATCCAGGGATGTCCCTGAGAAAAAGTAGTAAAAAGAAGAGTGCCCCTTTATCTCATATATGCTTCCATGAAAAACTCCCCATGGTCTCTCAATTTTGCATCCAAATGTCAATGCATAGGATACATACCTTTGTGAAAACTACATTCTTACCCAAGACTTGCCATACATCTTTCAGTCTACCTATATTTTCCAGTTCTCTAGCTTGACTTTGATGTTTGTTTTTCACACCACTTCTTGAATATCATTCCCACTCAATGTCAGGGCTTTAAAGACCAAAGATAATGAACTCTCTGCCAACCAACTTAAGAAACATATCCTTACTTTTATTCTTCAACCAACACATTAAGCATTAACTATATATACACACAGGACTTCCCAGGTGGTGCAGTGGTAGAAAATCTGCCTGCAATGCAGGAGACCTGGGTTCGATCCCTGGGTTGGAAAGATACCCTGGAGAAGGAAATGGCAACCTATTCAGTATTCTTGTCTGGAGAATCCCAAGGGCAGAGGAGCCTGGCAGGCTACAGTTCATGGGGTTGCAAAGGGTTGGACATGACTGAGCACACACACACACACATATAAACATCTGTGATGTGTATGTAATTATTAGCATAGTAATATTAGCATCTTTATTACCATCAGTAAATTAGTATAAATCACATGTAATCATTGAAAATGAAATGTAAAAAATGAAATGTATACTTACCCCTGCATAGAACATTTTATTTCGAAATCGACTGTTGAATTTCTCTGGATTCGCTTCTGTGAAAGGGAAAATGTGGTTTTGTTATACAGACTTCATTAGAAGTAGTGAGTTAGATAAGCACCCCTACGTTCTCTCCGTCCCTCCCCATCCCAAGGAACCAACAGCTTCATTATCATGTTTCCCTCAGTTATAGGCAGTTGGCACAATAGCCCAGGGATACAAAATGTAGCCCCAAACTGTCATCAATGGCAGTATCAACTGAGACATGCAAATTATTAGGTTCCACCCTAATCCTACTGAATTAGAATATCTGGGGGCTGGGGTCTAGGAATCTGGTTTAACAAGTTCTCCAGGTGATTCCCATGCACATTAAAGGCTGAGGCACTCTGGACTCTAGTCAAAACAGAGAGTTGGTTGGGATACAGGGCAGTGGTGACAGAAGAAAGAGGGAAGGGAGAAGGGAAGAGGGTCTGTTGTCTGCTTTGACCTCCATGGAGCACAGCTTCCATAAACTATGTATGCAGTTCAAATTTAATATAGGGAATTTGGATAAAAATCAATGAAGAATTTGCTGTCACATTTTGCAAAAACTCCTAACTACCATCTATACTCTTGTTTGTGACAGGCCTCAAAAAACCATTTGATTTAGTGAAGATATGTAAATATTATATATTATTTATATGTATATATATAATATAAATATTTATCTATGGGGCTTCCAGATGGCTCAGTGGTAAAGAATCTTCTTGCCAATGTAGGAGACACAGTTTGATCTTGAGGTTGGGAAGATCCCCTGGAGAAGGAAATGACAACCCACTCCAGTATTCTTGCCTGGGAAATCCCTCCTCCCAGAGGAGCCTGGGAGGCTACAGTCCATGCAGTTGCAAAGAGTCAGACACAACTGAGCACGCACATATAGACAGATACAGATATACACAGATGACCTGCAGAATGGACTCAGGGCAAAAGACAGCAAAGGCTCTGACTGAGAATGGTTTAATTTTGTGTTTGTTCCTGGATGTTATATAGGTTGAAGACCATAAATAGATTAAACAAGAATCTTCATGAGAGAATGTTCACATGAATCCAAGGGATGATAAAATCCACAAATTAAATACTATTTCCTTACATTCTTTCTGATAAAATTCCAAGACGTTCCAAAGGAACCCACTGTCAACGTTCGTCTTCTATTTTGTTCATTCATTATCCTTTCTTAGGAATAGGTCTTTCTCCAAGTCATTTCTCATCAGACAGCTGGCTGACTGGCTGAAAGTATCCAAATCCTAACTCTATATTTGAATGGCAAGCATGATACCAAATGGCAAACATCATAGAAACTAAAATTTCACCTACAACATTCTACCTTCTGGCCCCTATAATTCACATCCTTCACATGTGAAAAACACATTCACTTCCTCCCAAGTCCCAAAAGGTCTCATTCCCATTACAGCATCAACTCAAAATCCAAAGACCTCATCTAAATCTCATTACTTCAAACTTGCCAAATCTCATCATCTAAATCATCTAAATGATTTGGCTCTGAATGTAATCCATTTATAATGATGATGAAACCCTGGGTATAATCCATTCCATTATTTTAACATATTAATCCCATCTTTGTGTATAACACAATAACATATGTACCATTAGAATGGAATCCAAAACTCCACTTTTATCTGTAATTGGTCTTGCCTGTTAGGGAGATATTAGCAAATATAAGTTTAAGACTATGTTTATAAAAGCCAATAAGCAATTTGAACGCCATATAACTGGTGTGTACGTGCTAAGTCGCTTCAGTCGTGTCCAACTCTTTGTGACCCCACGGACTGTAGCCCACCAGGCTCTTCTGTCCAAGATTCTCCAGGCAAGAATACTGGAGTGGGTTGCCACGCCCTTCTCCAGGGGATCTCCTCAACCCAGGGATTGAACCCATGTCTCTTAGCTCTCCTACATTACCACGCAGGTTCTTTACTACTAATGCCACCTAGGAAGCCCATATAACTCATACATCTTCCAAATTATCTGCATTGGCTAGTAACCCAATCTTAAGACATCAGTTATGTATACATAAATGACTTCAATATCTGTGCCTACAGTGACAGTGTCACCGTCGATTAAAATTGTATGTGTAATAAAAATCTTTTCTTTAAAAGTCACTGCACCTTAAGGACAAATATTTTTACCAGCATTATCTTCATTTTTCTAACACCATGGCAAATATCTTTCACTCTGTATTAACCAGTCATCTAACTATCTTTATCACAAGCTCCTTTGTCCCTCTGTACTTTTCTTTCCCGTCTGAAATGCCCTTACCAATTTTACTTCTTGTCTATGTCACATTCCTTTTTTATTTACCACCGTATTCCTTCATACCCTTTCTGGAAACTTTCCCCTGATACTCTTCTTCTGTCAACAATCCCCACCAAACTCCCATATTATTCACTACCTATACATTTTCCTCTTACTATATACTCTCTCTGCTTTTATCTTTTATATATGAGCCTCTCCAATTTAACATTCCATTCCTATAGCAGACATTTGAGACAGCCACTGGACTTAGCACAGAAGATAAAAATAAGAGTCTTTTGCCCTTGTGTTGTTTAAAGAGGGGAAGACAGATCTGAAAATGAGAAATGTTATTTTGTATACGCCATAAAAAGATGGCATGTATATATAAGACGACTCCACGGACTGTAGCCCGCCAGGCTCCTCTCTGTCCATGGAATTTTCCAGGCAAGAATACTGGAGTGGGTTGTCATTTCCTTCTCCATGTAAGACAAAATGGGGGCGGCAGGGCAGGATGGGGGGGGGGCTTTCACACATAGAGCAAATGATCAGAACAGTGTTCCAGAGGCAAGTACACTTGAGCCTAGAATGATGAGTAGATGTCACACTAAGGTTCAAGATGCAAAAGAAGGTTACAGATAGAGAACCTTGGACGGGGTTTCTCAAAGGTCAACTGTGCTTGAGTCTTACTACCTGGGCAAGAGACTGGCAGTGTGTCCTTTGCAGTGATGGTGATGGTGAAATTTAGCAGTCCACTGAAAATAACACCTTTTCAAAGAAATCTGTCAGTTCACCATATGAATCATGAAACATTCATAATCCTTGAAATATGCTGATCTGCATGCCTCTTTATATTCAGAGAAAATAGCAAATCCTAAATCAAATTTAAATACTGCCTCTTCAGGAGTCATAATTATATTTCCTTGACCTTGTAGTGTAAGGTTCAAATCCTCTGAATAATAAGCAACTTCAATGAGGGTATGACTTGAGTGTCCAATCTCAGATTAAAAGTTTGATGTGTTTAATATCCTTCATGTCCCCCAAAGATGACTATCTAATTCACATAGCTGGCAAAGTGAAACCTAGCTTTGCTACCTGATAACCATAATCATTGTTACCATGACTATATAATAGTGGACTAGAGTATTTTCAATGTACTTCCTCAAGTACTGTCATAATGCAATAGTGTAAAGTACTGGGCAAGATTCCAACTGACAATTAAATGACCAATCCCATCAAATCTCTGAATCTTGTTCCAAATGATCACATGTTCTGTTACACAACAGTTCAGCCAGACATGGCTTAGCCACTTTGAGAAGAATAAAACAGCATCTATTTTCCTATCAAATAAAGTATACCTTCTTATTTTAAAAATCCACTTGTTAAAATTTATATTTTGGCTGCACCACACTGCATGTTGGATCTGACTTCCTTGACCAGGGATCAAACCCACATCCTCTGCATTGGAAGCATGGAGTCAACCACTGGCCCAGCAGGGAAGTCCAATATACTTTCTTTCTGATCAAATTATTCAAATGTTTGCATTATTTACCTACAAAGTCAATCAAAATGTTCAGCCTTTCTTTACTCCTTATTTGCTTTTCTACTGGTAATTCTAAAAAAACATTTACACAGAAAACACCAATAATAAACTGTCTTAAAATGAATGTCATTTTAATTGTCCCTTCTAAAAGAAATACAATAAGTAATAAAAGGCTGCAACTGTCCCATGTCAATTTGATGGGCTATTTCATATCTATGCCAAAAACTGTTTCTGCAATTGAATTTTTTAGGATTCTGCTTTAGTGAGATTTATATTACCCAGTCCATGTAAATGGATTGGCATAATTCCCAATATATTGTATGTTTTGACCAATATCTAGTAGGTTATTCTAGGCAAGGTTATTTTTTTTGGAATGGCTCTCATGAGGCTTTGAATCACTCTGCAAGTATCGGATGCAAATGATACAAGCTTTGTCATGAAGTCACAGTCTCTGAGCAGCTGCATTGGAGAACAGTTTGGAGTCTCAGCTGTGGTTTGCATGGCTTCCAGCCACTATCTATCAACAAAAATAAGTACATATGACCCTAATGAAAATGCAGCCTCACTTTCTTCCTCCTCTTCCTGCAGTGGAGCTTGAGATTTCTTGACTATCCAGGTAAAAACATGTGGAAAACCCAAATAAACAGAAAACAGCAAAAAAAGAAAAAAAAAAATTAGCCTGATGGGCTTCCCTGGTGATTCATTGGTAAAGAATCCACCTGCCAATGCAGGAGACACTGGTTTGATTCCTGATCAGGGAAGATCCCACATGTCACAGCAACTAAGCCCATGCACCGCAACTGTTGACCTTGTTCTCTAGAGCCTATGAGCCATCCTACTGAGTCCAAGTGCCACAGCTGTTGAAGGCCACATAGCCTAGAGCCCGTGCTAGGCAACAAGAGCAGCCACCGCAATGAGAACCCCCTCACACCGCACCTAGACAGTAGCCCTGGCTCACTATAACCAGAGAAAAGCCTGCGGAGCAATGCAGATCCAGTATAGCCAAAAAAAATTTTATTAAAAAACTAGCTCGAGTAAGTATACCTTTCATCATTAATAATGATTTCTTTTTTACTTAATGCAAAAAAGATAGACTAACAGATACTAAAAAGTCCACACCTCTGGTATAGACACATCAGCCAATCTGTTTCAACATTTCATGTATATTTATTGTGTACTGTCTCTAGATCCTCTCCATGAATATGGTATTCATTACTCTCAGTCAGCATCAATTCTCCCTTACCAGTTCTTCAGTCACTGTTTTTCCTCTTTTTTTTTTTTTAATCACTTCTGGGTCGTTCACTGACTTTAGTTTCTAGTCAAACCTAAAGATTAGCAGTCCTGAGTCCTGAGCACACATCTGGTCCTGAGCTTTACTGTCTTTGAGACCCTAAACAACGAGGTCTCAGGGTAACATCTGTAATAAGTTTCTATCTTACTGAGCTCCCAGGTTCACCATGGAACTTCAAATGGAAAAACAGCAGTAGGGCACACTGTGGACACTTAAGTGATATGCAAACAAAAGGGAACATGCAAAACACCTGCTGGAAACTTCCTCCCTGGGAGATGGAAATGGGACGTTGTCCTCACCTCTGGATTCATGGAACTCCAATGTGACGTGCGCATCGAATCCAAGGCTGAAGTAGTTATTGAAAACATTCAGAGGAAGCTGCAATGATGAGCAAAGGCAGAGGTAAAGTTGAAAGACACCTGTCTGTGAGGCAAGTCCCTGGGAGAAAAACCAGTCACAACCCAATGTAGGGGTGTCTACATAGAAGGAACAAGGGATTTTTGAATTAATTCTTTAGTGAAAGCTCAACTCATAGGATACTTTCAAGAATTTTAAATAGTTTAGGAAACAAGAGACACAACACAAATTATTAAATGAGAACCATTCTTGTGGATATTATAACAGGAGAATCTTGAGGGCTGAGGGATGCACATTTGTAACAGTTACAAGGGATGATTCACTAAACAAATTTTGCAAATAAATTTAATTGTAAGGATCACATCTAACCTTCTTAATCAGTGGATGCACATTTTTTGAAGAATTTACGTTCAGCAAATTAATACTGCAACTGAAAATAAATACCATTTAATTTGTTTACCCTTCTTTTCTAAAAATCTATATATTTTTGACAAAAGCCATGTAAGCAATAAGCCAGTGGGAGCCATTTAACTTTTCTCAACCTAGAGAAAAACTAAAAGTTAATTAAGAGAGTAGCACTGACATATATACACTATCATGTGCAAAACAGATAGCCAGTGGGAAGTTGCCAAATAGCACAGGCAGCTCAGCTTGGTGCTCTGTGATGACCTAGGGGGTGGGATGGGATGGGAGGAAGGTTCGATAGGGAGGGGACACATGTATACTTATGGCTGATTCACACTGCTGTACAGCAGAGACCAACACAACATTGTAAAGCAATTATCCTCCAATGAAATAAAATATATGTGTGTATTTATCAGTATTCAGATTTCTATTTACTCTATTAACTCTTATATTTTTAATATGACCATGAAATATGCAACCACAGACACATAGATATATATACGAGCCTCAGCTTTCCTTGCCAGAGTCCTCTGGGTCCCTGGTTGTTACTGCTGCAAGTTGAGTAAAGGAGAGAACAAGCTATGTAGCCTGAAGTCCTGCATTAAAACTACAAAGCTGACATGATCTGAAGGCCTGTGCTTTAAGGTGAGAACAATTAGAAAAGCCTGTGGGAAATGCTAGAAGGCATACGGTGGTTCTTCCACTTTTTCTTCTGCAACCCAGATTGGAAGGTAAATGTTAAAGTAAACAGAGGGGAAATATTATCTCAGCCTGGATGATGTTTCCAGATAATGATCAGGTTTATCCTCCAGAGATAAATGCACTCCTCTTCTATTAGAAATAAGTGTTTAGCCTCAAGATTTCAAAAATTACTGGGTTTCCTATGCCCCTTGATCAGTAAGATTTTTCTCTTTGACTAGAGCAATAATCTTGTCCCAGTAAGAGAAAAATGAAATGAGAGGAAGAGTCAGACAGAGAGCAAGAGAGAGATTATTAATAATACAGAAACACAGAAGGCTGAGTCAGAGATGTACTGATTCAGAGGTCAGCTCAGCCCTTAGAAGTGGTTACAAGTGACTGGAGAACAGGGAGAGAAACTCAACACACAGAACAATGCCAAAACATGTCTCACTCTCCTGGCTTCACATTTGAGAATGTCCAGTTCCTGCACTTAAACAAAAATACAAGTCCTTAGGAATGACAGCAAGGGTTGGTGATTCTGTCAAAAGCACAGATATGTTCACTTCTACCATTTATGTTCTCTTGGCTACGATTCTAACCCATGTCTCAGCATCCGCTGATAACGTAGGAGAACATCTGGTCACCATCCTCTAAATAACATCACAATTTAATCTGTTTTAAGAGTACTTATTCATATTTTCCAGGAAAAATTGCCCCAATTTCCTACACATCTCCTTACAAATCCACTTTTGAAACCCTTTAATTATCTGGATTAATGTCCCCAGGCTGCATCAAGAAGTCTTTCCATTTCTTAAGCTGTTGGGAAGAGAATTAAATAGAGATTGCTATTGAGGGCCTAACCATTCCAAGCTGAGTGGGGATAGGACCTTAACATTTTCATATGGTACATTTCTTTATACTTTAGCTGTTTTATACCCAGTTTCTATAAGTCAAATACATTACAAAGAAGTATTATATCCCAAGACGATACTTGCTTAAACAACACTGTGACATTACGAACTCAAGGTCAACTGAGCAATCATGATAACTACACAAAACCTTAGTTTCTGGGTCATAGTTTAGGTGAAAAAACTATGAAGGTAAGACAAAACATGTTTTAACCAATTTTAGTCAAATAAGTAACTTGAGCTTCTACCACAAATTGTTGGGATCTTGATGCTCATCAATAAAGGTGCATTTGTTGTTGTTTAGTCACTAAGTTGTATCTGATTCTTTTGTGACCCCATAGACTGTAGCCCACAATGCTCCTTTGTCCATGGGATTTCCCAGGCAAGAATCCTGGAGTGGGCTGCCATTTCCTTCTCCAAGGAAAGGTCACTGGTTTGGTCTAAAATGATACCGGATTCAAAGGCCGAAGCACCATGAAATCGTGGCTTCAATCAATGGTGTGATCCAATAAAGCAGGGATGCTACACGGATGCCAGGCCTTCACCCTACATCTACTTAATCAGAATCTCTGGGAACAGGGCCTTGCAATCTGCATTTCAGAGGCACACTGCCTGGAGATTCTTACACAATGAAAATGTGAAAACACTATCACAGAAGAAAAAGATAAAGTAATAGAAAGCAAGTGGCTACTCAGAAACCTGTCAGATTTATATGAAATTGAGGCCAGAACTTAAAACTGAATTTTCCCCTGAAGCTCTCCAGTAGCATTTTTATAATTATATCCCTTGGTTTGTGAGATACAAGTTTAATTACTGAAGGAAAAACGCTAAGTCAAACATTTATTTAGGTGTATCTTCACATCCCAAACAAGTAATGAAATTGGAATTTTTGCTATCAGACCAGAAATCTCAGATGGTATCTTTCTATTGAAAGACCCTGTGCCTAATGTTTTCAGGCCATATGATTTTTTTTTTAATCTCCTCATAGGTTTAAGACTTTGCAATGAATTTGAAAGATTAGAAAACTGATATATTTCTTTCTGGTGTGGAATTTGATGACAGAGAATAGCTCCCTGTGCTATGGAAACACTTAGGAAATCTTGATCTTTAGAAGTCTATGGGGCAGAATCACTGGATAGCATTATTCTCAGAGCCCTAAGTAGCCATAACCTCTATAGGAGGGAATCAGACATAACTCTCTGGCCAGGAATTATTTCCTGTGGCTCAGGCAGAACATACTCCAGGGTTCCCTTTCTGCAGAAGGGAAAACTCTCTAACCTTACACACGCCATCTTCCAGTTCTTCAGGAGGCAAGTCTGGATTTCTTTCCACGTGGAGGTTCCAGCGATCCAGCTGTACAATCGTCCCATCTTCTACTTGGCAAAGGATCTTAGAAACCGGCTCATCAGTGTAGCCCTAAGGAATCAAAGAACGAACACACTGCTGTCTGGAATGGTGAGAGTACAGCCAAAGGTATTGATAGTTCATGCCAGGCGGAGACCTTCTGCTGCAGCTCTCTCTTTATTTTGCAATTAACAAGGCTGAGAAAGTAAACTGTTTTTCTTGAGGTATTTAGAATTTAAGACAATAGTCACGGGTACTGTGCACAGAAATACTATCTCTAGTTGGTTTGAGCGGAAGAATGACTTCTGTCAGCACCAAGAATAGTCAATGGCAGGCATTTGAGAGCCATGCTGGATGGCTGTTTTTATCAGGGTGAAAACAGATTTCCCCACATCTCCCTCTAAAGAAATTTGGAGGATACACAGAACAAGTGTATGTGGCAAAGCAGGAAAAGAATCAAGCAACATCTGCTAGATGATTTCTAATATTTCACTTCACTCACCTCTCCCTGACCTTGTCCTAAGACACCATTCCTTTCAGGACCTAAGGCAAATCTGAGTGATGGACAGCTCTGCTAGGGAGCTATCTACTTACTCCTTGAGCACACATGACTGATAGCTTGATTATTTAGGATGATCAAGTCACTGATTTAGATAAGAGGAACTATACTGATAAACACATTAGCTGCCTTATGAAAATATATTATTTATACTATGCTTACTTAAAATTAAAAAAAAGACCTCTGGGAAGTTAATTCACCCAAGGTCAAATAAATATCTGCTAATACCCTGACATAATTATCACCCATGGGAGGTTAATACACCCAAAAGCCAGATTAGTATCTGCTAATATCTGAAGATAATTTTCATCAAGCCCAGCCCAGGCAATACGAGCAGTTAAAAAACCAGTCAGACAGCATATGTTAGCATATTGTGCTTTCTTACTTTCCTAATACTGTAAAAATATTAATGATCATGATGATAATAATAATAGTTTTTAAATGATTGTTGTTTTGTTGTTGTTTAATCAATGATCATGATGATAATAATAATAGTTTTTAAATGATTGTTGTTTTGTTGTTGTTTAATCGCTAAGTCATGTCCGACTCTTTGCAACCCCATAGACTATAGCTCACCAGCCTCTTCTGTCCGTGGGGTTTTTCGAGGCAAGAATACTGGAGTGGGTTTGCCATTTCCTTCTCCAGGGGATCTTCCCAACCCAGGAATCAAACCTGCGTCTCCTGTATTGCAGGATTCTTTACCACTGAGGCACCTGGGAAGCCCCTTTTGAATGGCTGGTTAAACTGCCTTCAACAAGTTTGCCTGAAGTTGACTCCATGGTGAAAAGGAAAATTGGCTACCTGTACAGCCAAAAGCCTGATGACATTAACTAGAAAACTAAAAGCTCAAACAAAGCCATGACTCTTCCCAAGTAAGAATCAGAAATCTGAACCAGATTCATCAGGGCAGGACTAGGGGTCAGGAGCAACTCGAGTCTCTGTAATTGCTTAATATGAGGACCAACCCACCCCCTGGGTACCTGTGACTACTGACTTTTAGTGAATACCTCAAAAAGACCTAGACCGGTGTACTAAAACCCATTTTAAAAAAAATAAAACTTCCTCTTCTCTAGTTGACTATAGATTTAAACTGCAGATAAAACCCTGGTTCACGGGGACCTTGATTCTCAACTCTAACTTGCTCCTTGAACAAGAGGAGCACACGTGTCTTCCGCTAGAACACCTGTGGATGTGGGGGCTCCACCGCTTGATGACGTGGGCAGTCCCTGAGGACAAGCTTACCCCTCCCCAGTTGAGAGTCCGAGCCAGGTCATTCCCGGTCCCCAGAGGAAGGACCCCGACAGGAGGCTGAGGACTCAGCTGCAGTTCATCCAGGATGGAAAGGATCCAGCCCACCTACAGGCATTTGGGGGCCAGAAGAGACAGAAGAAAGATAGGTAAGTTACAAAGGAGACAACCTGAGAACGGCAGGCTTTAAAAGGAGCAAAACAGAATAGGCATATTTTTCTTTAAAAATACAGCAACCAGGAAACAGAAAGGGCACTTATCCCAAGCAGTTTCAATGCACCAAGTCTCTTCACAAGGAAAAAGAACCATTTTGTATACACCATATCATATAAGCAAAACTAGACCTGTTCATCTGTGTGTTTAGTATGTGTGTGCGCTCTGTCATATTTGACTCTTTGTAACCCCATGGACTGTAGCCACGGGATTGCAAAGAGTCAGATGCAGACTCCTCTGCCCATGGCATTTTCCAGGTAAGAATATTGGAGTGGGTTGCCATTTCCTTCTCCAGGGAATCCTCTTGACCCAGGGATTGAACCCACATCAACTAGAAATCTACTTTAAAATTCAGGAGAGTTTACAATTTAGGGAGGTCGGTTCATCCCTAGGGCATTTCAGGAAATCGGACTAAATCTCAATTCTGGCTCACACTGGCTTTGTCATCTTGATTAAATATTTAACCACAGTAAGACTCATTTATTTGATTTTCAAAATGAAGATAATAATACCTACCTCACAAGACTGTTTATAGATTAAAACTAAAACATATATAAAAACCTTGATATGGTGCGTGGCTTATGGAAGTACTCATTAAATGATTACTCTGTACGTTATCATCTTAGAAATTAGTAGTGCTTTCCTAAATATCCCTATATTCCTCTTAATGAAACATTAAAAAACATAATTATGGATGATCTTAGTACTTATTATAAGTTTAGGCAGAAAATGGATAGTTATATACCAGAATCATATTCCTGTTCAATCTTTTTCTAAGATAAATACTACTTGGTGTTTTGTCTTATTATAACTATTTAGCAAAATTATCCCAAACTTGGAAACAGCAAAAAGAAACTTGAATATCCTCACAGTGTTATTCTAGAGCAGCGTCACAAGGCTTATCTAAGAACTTTATGAGTGTAAATTACTGGGAGAACTTTTGTCCTATAGAGATACAAACATTGAGAAGAGAAGATCACTTTAAATGCTCTGGTTCTATTCCCCCATCAGAACATAAACCAATTTTGTCTCAAATTTAGAAAAATTATTCTGGTATATACTACATAATTCCTTTCCTTTTCCTCTCCAATAAACTGGTGGTATTATCTTGCTAGCTCCTCTATTATAAACCTAAATAAAGTTTTTAACATTTACTGACTCTAAAGTTGTTTGAGAATCATGTTTAAAATTTTTTTTTAAACTGTATTTTAACAGTACATTTATTGAACACTACTATATAATAAAGCATGGAAATAAGGAATTGAAATAAAAAGATGAGTGAGCCACTCTAAGATAAGGCAGAATGCTTGCTCTCAAGGATTTTGCAATTAACAAAAAGGGGCATACTGATTTTTCTGTGTGCTAGTCCCTAAGCAAAGCTTTCTACTGAATTATTAAACTTCAAAGCAACTCTCTACAATAGATATAATCTTCATTCCCAATTCATAGACAAAGAAACCAAGGCTTGAAAGGTTCAGTGACGGCCTTAACATCACACCATTTATACGGTACAGCTGACATTCAAAGCTAGGTTTGCCACCCATCAAAGGCCAACCTCTGAGCCGCTCTGGTGCAAGGAATGTTTCAGTGAAGAGCTAAACTCAGCTCCCAAGTGGCCTGACCATCCCAGAGTCCATGGCATGGACCTTCGGGATCTTTGGAGCACTGGGGAATCCTTGGAAACTGCTTGATCAAATTCAGTTAATTTGCAGATTTATTAACTGAGGTACACAGAGGCTATGTTATTTGCTCAAGACCAAATAATCAGAAGTGAAAGAAACAGTCATGACCAGGTCTGCTGACCCCTTATCGAAAACCCTTTCTCCTTCACGGTGACTACTTTTTAAGATGTCAGACTCGCCCATCCATCAAGAAGCCTAAAACTGTGTTTACCTTTTAGAGAGGGGTAACACAATGCTGGCCCAAGGTGGGAAACTAAACATTCAGATCTAAACGAGGGTCCACAAGTCCCCTCATTCCCCCAAACTGAGCAAAGAACCGCTGGACAAGTCCTCAGATTCCCACCCAGGGCTTCTGTAGCTCTTCTTTGACATAACACTAAGCTTGCTATTGAAGTAAAAGGAAAAAAAAAAACGCCAGACACTAAAGTAGTGCTAATGACTATGTTAGACGTTGTTCCTCGGCCGCCGAAAACATAAACGAGACGGAGTCAAAGCAGAGGCCTCCAATAAATGATGAGCGGGGGGTTTAAAGGTCATGAAAAAGGACACGAAAACTCAGAAATCCCAACAATCTGGGCTCCCCGACTACAGCTGTAAACAGCCCTGAGTAGAACCAGAGACTCAGAGAGAGGGTGGAACTTACAGGAAATCTAATTCAATATTCCATATACAGCAGGGAAAAGAAGACAGACTCTTTACCTTCTCTGAGAGATGCTCCTGCAGCTCCCCTATTCTGATTTATACTCACAAGTCAAATCTAAGTTCTTTTAGGTAGATTCAAATTAGAAATATTTTTCTTGTGTTCCTTTGAAATAGGTCTGTGTTTTCTGGATAAAGATAATGCTATGAGTTCACACTTTGAACAGTCTATTTCCCTCTAGACTTGAAAATAGGAGGGAAAAGAGTCTCCGTGGGTCAGAAACAAAGAAAGCACAGAGGGGCAAGCAGAGGAAGCCAGGAGTTTGGCTTCTGTCTGATTACAGGGGATAAAAGTTCACCCCTTGCTGGCAGGAGGCTGTGTGTGAACCAGACTCCCTATGTGGTCAGAAGAAAAGAGGCCAAGAAGAGAGGGTGAGGAGCCACTGACTGAGGCCATCATCCACAGAAAGCTGTGATGCCTTAGGGCCGGAGGGATAAAGCTTCTATTATGAGTTGAAATGCCCATGAGCTTGTTGACACCTGAAACACCCCTCACCCAGGGTCAGGATGGGAGCCCTAACCACTTATAGGAGACCCAACTCGAGTCTCAGCATCCTGGAAACCATTCAAACTACTAGAAAAGATTAGTACAAGGGTGCAGAGAAAGAAAAGGGAAAAATCAAACACAGCAAAACATCTTCCTCTGAAGTCGAGCCTACAGAGAGAAATTCTAAATCCCAGAAAGAACACTAAGAGTAAGATAGACCAGAAGGTCAGAGAATAATTTACAACCCATGAAACACATATAATTGTCAAGTAACTTTGAAATAACTGTCTCATAACTTCCATGAATTGATAAAGTGTCTCCCAATAGATCTTTGATCAGTATAATTGTCCTCATTCAAACGTTAAGAATTGTTCCTTTCTTTTTTTTCTTGGAAGGCTGCCAAGAATCCACATGAAACTGTGGTGTGATTCCCCAAAATGGCAACAGTCCTCTGGACCCTCTGACTTCTCACCATCTCCTTTCCCTTTTACACTTGGCCTAAGTGTAGGCTGCCCCAGTGGCTCAAATGGTAAAGAATCTGCCTGCAAAACAGGAGACCCAGGTTCGATACTTGGGTGGGGGAGATCCCTTGGAGATGGAAATAGCAACCCACCCCAGTATTCTGGCCTGGAGAATCCCTTGGACAAAGGAGCTTGGTGGGCTACAGCCCATGGGGTTGCAAAGAGTTGGACACAGACTGAGCTACTTTTGCTTCACTTTCAAGTATGAAAGGAAAACATACAGTTAATTTGAATGTAAAGGACTTTCCCCTTTCTTACAAGTTGATTTGGTTTAAAAAACAAAACAAAACAAAGCTGCAGAAATAGATTCTCTCTCCTTTTCCAACAGCCAGTTTGTTGTTGTTCAGGTACCAAGTCGTGTCTGACTCTTTGCGACTCCATGAACTGCAGCACACCAGGCTTCCCTGTCCTTCACTATCTCCCAGAGTTTGCTCAAACACATGTCCATTGATTTGGTGATGCCATCCAATGGCCAGTTAGTCAACCATTTAATTTTCCCCTGAATACAAGCAGGCATCATCAATTACATAACCCTCGGAGTCATCAAACGTCTTCTGCCTGTCACAGCACAGATTTTTTGTCTTGAATCCATATTAGGCTCACAGTTCTTTGGCTAATGTGGGTCTAGATCTTTCTTTCACACAACTCTTGAACAATTTTTCTCATCCAAGAGCTACATCATCACTACCCAACAACCACCTTCCCCAAAAGGCAACATAACCTAGGGAAGGCACAGAGATGGGGGGTGACTTGCTGGATCAGAAGCCTGGCTCCATCACATACTGGCCAGGTGAGCCTGGGCAGGTCAGTTAACCTAATTCCCTCCTATGTAAAAGGGGGTAACAGTACTTGCCTCATAGGGGAATTTTATCAATTAAATGACATAAACATGGTGATTAGCAGGTGCCTGACAAATAGGAAACCCTAAAATTAACATTAACTGCTCTGAGTTAAGCTGTATTTTTCTTCCTTTTTCTTTACTTCATCCATAAAAGTCCAGTGTCCTGGAAGCAAAATGCCTTTTTCCTGTCTCTCCACTTCGAGGTTGAGCCTTGAATTTCACAGATTGATCCCAACGCTGACTGCCAACAAGTCACAAAGTCTTGCACAGACTACCAAAAACAGTAAAAGCCAAGTTGCACTATAGCAGAAAGGTGAAAGAGACAGGGCGTGGGGGTAGAGGCAGCAGGGCGGTGAAGGGCAGAGACTACAGAACAAATACACCTACGAGAGAAGGAGGCACAAAAGGTCTCCAGGAATCGCCCGTGCCTCTGCCCCTAGCAGAACAAAACTATATAAAAGGTCTTAAAGTCCAAAGCCATTATCGGCTGTTATCAGAGGCTCTCCCTTCCCAGGACCCAGGACCCTGCTCCTGCTGGAAGTCCAGATGCATATTTGTCGGCAGGACTGTGTTTGCTGGGACTACTGCATTACCCCAAATCATGTCCACAAGCACCTCTTCAATTAAACTTAATTAACTGCAACACAGGGCACTTAGCATATTTTCCATCACAGCTGGAAGAATGGGCAGGGTTATTTTCCAGGTAGCAGAGCTCCTTCCTGCCTTCACGTTAGGAAAAGCAGGGCTGACAGGTCTAGCACACCAGGGTTCTGGGCTTCAACTCTGAGCAAAGCAGCCCAGCCTAGAGGCTGCAGCAGTTGCCCGATGCTGCCACCTCCTGGCCACACTCAGCTATAACTATCACCAGACAATTTCCCACGTGCAGGCGGAGCAGTGTTTCCATTCAGCAATATCCTAGCTTGAGAACTGGCTGAGGGGTGGGCGAACAGGACCGTGAATTGACATTTCCTTTGAACAGAGCGGGTGCACAATTGCCTTTCCTCATATTATCTGCAGGCAGAAAAGTAAAGGATTCTCATATAAAGAAATCAAAAGAAGGAGGGGAATGTTTCTGCATCCTGGAAGACCATCTAAAGGCAGCATTTGACAACTAGATTTCCTTTCTAACATGTACACTGCCATTCGTCCTTTTGATATTTTTATATTTGAACTTAATAGTTTACAAAGTCACTCTATGGTAAGATAAATGTTTAAAATCAGCCCTAAAGGAATTGAGAAAAAAGCCAAAATATGTTGTTTTTTTTTTTAAAATACAATGTGGACTTTAGGCTGTCCATTCTCTCACTGGCATGAAGACAACTGAGGTTATACCATGGGCTGCTTCTCAAGAGAGTGTGGGATGTGGAGAGGCTGAGAGAGAAGAGGCATGTGGAACAATTTTCTTGCCCTGTCAATTAGAGGGCAATAGACCTCTCTTCCCTGTTCTGTGGGGCAGGGAGCCAGGGCATGGGTGTGCCTTCTGGTTAGCATGTATCCTCACCTGGGGAAGCCAACTGAACCAGAAATAAGCATGCTGCAGTTCAAGTCCATTTAACTTCAGCCCTTGGGAAAGACGTCAGCAGGGTTAAGTGTGGACCTTTGGGTCCAGCCCAGTTCATCAAGGCCAAGGGCAGGTAAGGACAGATAACATTTCACCTTAAGGATTTTTAAGGAGGGGAGGCAACTTGTGACTTTAGTGTCTCAGTTTACAGACTCCTTGATATTTAAGCAAGCAGCAGCCATGGGGAGTTGGATGGGTGGAGATGCGGTTGAAGAAAGGACAGAATGCAAATCTACCCCATGACCAAAGAGGGAATATGCTAGTTTAAAACATGAAGATTGGAGGTCATTCTGAGTTATTTTCTCTCCCCCTAGAGATCAAAGATGGGACCAGCCCACTGGACACCTGCAACTCTGTGACCATCTCGGGATTCTGTAAACCAGTTTCCAAGAGCCTGAAACTGTGGCGCTGTCCCCTGCAGTCACCACTGGCCAGGTGTGGTCACAGGCTGCTCGAATGTGGCTGACGCAAGCTGGAGGCGCTGTAAATTTAAAATATAGGCTGGTTCTGGAGACAGTACAAACTGAGCATAAAATATCCCATTAGTAACTTTATACTGATGGCGTGTTGAAATGATAGTATCTTGGATATACTAAAGAAAATATATTATAAAATCAATTTTACCTGCTTCTTAGTTGTGTCTTCTAGAAAACTTAAAGACTGCAGCTTACATAATAGTTCTCCTAAACAGCAGTGGTCTATACTAATACAATGCTACAGCTGTGAAGACCCTTAGAGATCCAAACGTGTCTGTTTTCAGACTTAGAACATCTCAGAAGGGGTTGAGGAACTTGCCAAAAGCCACAGCAACGGTGGAGCAAGCATCTCTTCTCTTCCAAATGCAGTATATGCCTCCTTGTACTTTTCAATAGCATCAAATTAAAGTAACTCATATTGAAGCCTAAGAACTTTTTTCCAAATTAATGCAAGATGTCTGTATATTAAACAATACTTTGTATATAAACTGATGTGATTAAGGATTAACATATCCTCATCCCAACCAGTCAAAAGTATTCCTTTTCTGATTCCTCCTAGAGCCTTGTCACTTAGAATTCTGACAAGCTCTACAGTGATAGACACACTCACTAAATCAAGGCTGAGCATCTGATGTCAAACATACACCCGGCACTCAGGAATTATCCTTCATTTGCCAAGAGCCAAGAGTTTCTCTTCATGATTCCATCAGCAGGCCTCTCCTTCAAACAAACACTCAAAATTAAAAGTTTCATATTCTAAACTGATAAAATTAAAAATGTTAATCATGTATCTTGATAAGCACATTATAAACCCCAGATACCTTTCACAGCACAACTTGTTTTAACAAGGTAAAATAAAATCTGGTTTTATATAAGGTAGAAGATATGCAAAGTTTTGATTCTATATGATTGGACTACAGAGGTTACCACTGAAAAAATAATTAGCTCAAAAGAATGCATCAATTCTAAGGGAAACATACCACTTTTCATAGCTGTTGTACATATAAATGTCTATTGCAGTTTTGAACTATGTAGAAGGATGTAAAAACTGAAGATAGGATCATAGATAAGGTACCAGGGAGGAAAAAGCACCTAGAACATCAATGAGAAGTTACATCCAGGCTTCTGGAAGACCTAGATTATGGTCTAGGTCTTCCAGATACCTAATTATGGTATCTGAAAGATACCAAAAAGATAACCTAATTATGGTATATTTAAAGAAGAGATGCTAGAAAAGATAAGAAAAGCAGAAGAACCAGGTAGTCTACGAGTCAAGAAAGTGACGTTAATGACACCAGAAAGTATTTCTAGAAATTCAACACTGTGACTGGATCTGCTCATTAGAACTCATTATGTGTGTTGCTTATTAGCTGCTCAATCGTGTCCAGGCTCCTTGCAACCCCATGGACTGTAGCCCACCAGGTTCCTCTGCCCATGGAATTCTTCAGGCAAGAATACTGGAGTCGGTTGCCATTCCCATCTCCAGGGGCTCTTCCCAACCCAGGGGCCGATCCCGGGTCTCCTTCACTGCAGGTGGACTCTTTACCCACTGAGCCACCAGGGAATCCCAGAACTCATTAGGGTGGTACCAAATCTCATTCATTCTGGGTTTTGTCCCACTGATGGCATCACTGACTCAATGGACATGAGTTTGAGCAAACTCCAGGAAACAGTGAAGGACAGGGAAGCCTGGCCTGCCTGCTGCAGTCCATGGGGTCACAAAGAGGCAGACACAACTTAGCGACAACGACAAATCTCTCTCACTCTGGGTTTTGTCCCAGGCACTCTATTATAACTATTTTCCTGAAAACCACCAGTTACCTCCTAGTCTGCAAATCCATAGTAATCCTTCATTCTCTTAATAATATCATCACTGCTGTCTTGAAACTTCTTTGGGGGTTGTTTTTCTTGATAAGACTACTGGTGATATGATAGATAAGACTTCTATCTTTTTCTCTTCTTTTGAAATTCAGCTCTGACTCCATAATTACAAATGTTTCACACGTGTCTGGACTTGGCTCTTCTTTCTTTTTCCTTTATGCTTTGCATTTCCATGTTTCCAAACATTTCTCTAATTGCAGAGAATACTTCAATACCACAAAACCTAGAACAGTGCTTTCTACACATACCCGCTGAATGGATGGGGGTGGGCAGAGAGAGGTGAGGGGAGACGCAGGGGATAAGGGGAAGTTTGGAAGGTGGAACAGCCAGGCCATGATGAAGCCCAAGATATGAAGATGGCACAGGCAGCCAACATGAATTTGATGTAATTGTCATTTAAGAGAGAGAAAGGACCCTGAATTCAGATACCAGGGCTATCCCAACAGTCAAATAATTCTGGAAAGCACCAGGTTAAACAGAGCAAAATAGGTTTGGCTTCTTTAAGACTTTATAATGAATTTTATAAGCTAATAATGTGTATCAGAGTCTCAAAGAATAGTAAACACTATTTTCTCAACTGAAAATTGTTTTCCTCTCCACAGAAAATCATAAAGGACTAGTGGAATCACTGTTTAATTTCTTTCTGGTTGTGCTTATTAGTATATAATGTGTATTCGGTGGAGCATTAAGTGCTCACGTGCTGTGAGAGATAAAATTAGAAGATTCTGTTGCTACCTTTGAGAGTAAAACATTCTAATTAGGAAAATTAGAGAAAAGCCAAAGATAGTTCATAATAAAATCCTATGAGATCAGACTCTAAATATAGAAGAAAAGATACTGAACGGCAAAATCTAAATGTCACCATTCTCAATTATTTGCCTTTGCTAAATATAGCAACATTAGAGGGCAAACTGACAAACAGATGAGACAAACTGAGGGAAACACACCCGTGATGTTAGACGTCGGCCCAATTCCATCTTTTCTCCTAAAATGACCCCAAAGAGGACCAACTATGATCTTTAAGATAAAACATTGGTCAATATTCTAACTTTTCTTTCCACAAGTAAAAAAAAAATAAAATAAAAGCAATAATTCAATGGTGTATGCATATTTCTCTTCCAGAATTGTGACCAAAATATTAAGAATATCTGGAAATAGGTCAGTTTCTGTTTTAAAAATCATTTATCCATCTATGATCTTCCTTCTAGTGATCTGGCTAGAAGATCACTTCTAGTGATCATAAGATCATTCTAGTGATCTAGTGATCTCCATTCTAGTGATCACTTCATTCTAATGATCCTTACTTTGTGGAACAGGGAAAGGGACAGAACAGTGGGGTGGGAAACAGAATTTAGAAAGATCAAGACTGAATCCTTAACGCCAATAACAAGAGTCCCTCCTAACCCTTAGGGGCTTGGATTCACATAAGAGACAAATGTTTTAGGGCCGTGGTCCCCAACCTTTTGGCACCAGGAAATGGTCTCATGGAAGATAATTTTTCCAATGACCGGAGTTGGGGGAGGATGGTTCAAGTGCATTACATTTATTGTGCACTTTACTCCTATTCTTATTACATCAGTTCCACCTCAGATCATCGGGTATTAGATCCCAGAGGTCGGGGACCCATGCTTAGGGGACTGGAAAGACTGTGAGAGGGGAATGAAGAAAGACAAATGTTTTCAGGAGAACAAACGGCAGACGGAAGAAACAAGGAAGAGAACTGGATTCTCTTTCAAGGACCTACCGTTCCATCCCCACCACAGGCCAGAATCCGCAGGTTTGGTACCTTCCTATACAGCTCAAGCCTGTGGGGGAACCAGAGGAAAAAGTTAATGAGAGAGCCTATCCCTGGCCATGGCAGACAGCATTATTCCAACACACAGCACAAAAGACGGGGAGGGGCAGGTGAAGAAAACGCATAATCATGAGGATGGTAATACCTTCAAAACTAGCTACAAAGTGACTCATCGGAGTGATCACAAGAGGACTGGCTCCAACAATCAGATTAGAGGTTGGCAGCAAGCACGATTCTTAAGTGGCTAGTATTGGAACATGCTAGCACTTATTTCCCGTAACTCCTATTAACGTGTCAACTCACATTATATTTCCTCACTAGTGTCAACTTCCTGCTTTTTCTTTCTAGTCATTCTCCTCCTCATATCTATTTATTTTTCAGACTTATACTTCCCACTCTTAACCCTAGAAAACCTTCTTCAGAGAGATGGGACACCCCACTAGCATTATTACAACTGCACCCACAATGCCAGTCACTTGCTAATACTAAAACCTCCATTTATACTTCTCAGCCCAAAGAGGGAAGATGCACTGAGTTTTCTTTATTTTGATTTTGTCTGCTTGAAATTAGATCTTTCCTGTTGTCTCTGAAGAAAATGCAGTGGCATTTCCCATTTGCCTGCTGAAGTGAAGATTCTAATGGCTCTATTCCAGAAACATAACCTTATTTACATTAAATGACATTTTTTCTGAAAACAGTTCCTGTCCTGCCATATTCTTCATTGTGATCTATGAAGTTATCTACCTAAAGTCTAACTGAAAATAATAAAATTGTAAGGAAAGTAAACATAAAAGGACAAAACCCAGGATAGTAGATTTGCCTTAATACATCTGAATGCAGGAAAAAAATAGAAGTCTTAAAGCAAACTCTAGTGGCAAAGAAGTTCATAGATTAGAAGAATGACAACAGAAATTAATTTTCATAATTAATGTTCTCTTGCATGCTTAAAATATGTAATTTATCCATTTCATAGAGGAATATTATTTTTCTAGAAATTATCTGATAAATTCTCAGAAATTATCTGAGTACCTCTTTGCCTCTGATACTACTTATTGAAAAGTAGTTAGTATCTCTTTAGCTCTAAGGTTTAACAGATGAAATCTGAACTATCTTATTAGATGGGTTTAAAAAAGGAACCAGTCAACAGCAGAAATGTCCCTGGCTCTTCCCTACCATACACCTTTCCACCAAAAGGAAGATATAAGATACATGTCACCTACAACCAGACTTTATTTTTCACCCCTTTCAACAAAAAATAGAGAATGAAATTTCTGAGAGGCTCAAATAAGGGATTAAACAGGAACTAGACTGTCTCCCCCACTCTGCTACGGAATCTACAGGTATAATCAATTCCTTCACTTCACAAGTGGTCATGGATGCACATACACTCAATCTCTAAATCAAATAAACAAACACATTCATAAACAGATCATGGCCATTCTCCACAAAGACACACTTGTTCCTGTTAAGGTACATCTCCAAAGCCGTACATGCAGAAGTAGAAAAAGGATGGATCCTTCTCAATTCAGACTTGCTCCTTATCTACAGTTACATGTGTCTAAGCAACAAACACAAGAGGAGTTAATAACTCACTGGATATGCGTTGAATAAAACTTAGCCAGTGAAGAGGGGAAACATCAGGTGAAGTTTTAGAGGGAGAGTAGTAGAGGTGAGCAAGTAGATGAAAGACAGAAAATACTTCATGATGTAATCAAATAATAAAGCAGGACCCCAAAACAGAAAGATCTTCTCACTCGACTAAAACAGTATGAACCACGGAGGGTATTTCCAGACTTACGCATCTTTCGGTCCTTCCTGAGAAAGGTCAAAGACTTGCCGTGGATTCAGGTACCACATGAACATCTGCAGGACTTTGGTTCCCTGTAAAAACAACAAAAAAAGACAGTAATAGGAAGAGGCTTCCAAATATTAGCTCCTCATTTAAAGAATAAAAATAAATCCTGTTCTGAAAAATAATATCAATAATAAACAGTATAGAGTAGTAGGTAAAAGTCATGGGCTTTGGCCATCTCTATACATAGGTTGAATACTTACATTACACTCTGTTAACTTATGTAACTCTGAGCAATTTTTCTAATTTCATTAAGCTCAGCTCTTAATGCAGAGATTAAAATGCCTACTTCACATTGTGCTGTGTGCTAAGTCACTTCAGTCGTGTCCAACTCTTTGTGACCCTATGGACCACAGCCCACCAGGCTCCTCTGTCCGTGGGATTCTCCAGGCAAGAATACTGGAGTGGGTTGCCATTTCCTCCTCCAGGAGATCTTTCCAACCCAGGGATCCATCCTGTGTCCCTTACATCTCCTGCACTGGCAGGGGAGTTCTTTACCACTAGCGCCACCTGGGAAGCCCTTCACAGACTTGTTGCAACGATTAAATACAGTGTGGATGGCATGCAGTAAGTGCTTAATGATTGAGCCCTATTAGCTTTTGTCATCATTATTTAATTCATGAAAATCCACATAGGAAAGTTAGTTAACTTATGCAATTTAACATTAATTTTTATTTTATTATGCAGATCACTGCTGTCTTTGCATAGTATGAAATATGGACAGTATTAACTAAATATAATTTTCTTGAAATAAATGTTTTTAACTACAGCAAAAGTATCTCAGGCTCCCCATTATTTATAATATATGATTTCTCTAGTTGGTGTTTCCAAATCTTACTTTGACATTTTTCAATTTCCATGTCTATACCTGTGTCTATTTCTCAAAACCACTTCTGGAGTGTCTCAAGTAACTGCGACATTTATAGAGCTGTCATCATAGCAAATACAAGTCACTTCTAGAGGTCACTTCTTAAAGTGAATTGAGCAAAACAATGAAAGAATAATTTTTACATTAGGCAGTATCAAAAGTTTAAAACTGAGTAGGGTGCCTCACTTTAGATCACTATCAACCACAGCAAATAATATTTGATTGGTTGGGTAGCATCTGTTGCTTCTAATTATAGTCCCTTAACTAGCTATCATAATTGCTTTTTCTTAAAAATATTCCTGTTTGTATACCTATATCCTGTATCTGAGAGTCATCCTATTATAGTAGAAACAGTACAATACTTGAGACAGAGCTAACTTGGATGTTCTAACCGCGTGACTGTGAACATTTATTATCTTATAGAAATTCAGCATGTAAAATACGGCAAGCTCTACTTCCCAGGGTGATTATGAGAATTAAATGAATCAGTAATAGTTACATATTCAGCATAGTGCATGGCACTTTGTAAGTGTTAGTCCCTTTCTTTTTTGCTCCTTGTTAATCTATTCATTAAATTACACTTGAGGCTGTGAGGGCTAAAGTGTAGTTTATAATTATCACATTGTTATGCCAGTTGTTGCAGAGGCCAATGTAGGTCTTTTGTTCCACATCTCATCCAAACCTATAATTTAAAAGTTCTGCTTTATCATGTGCTTGCTATAAATTTAGGAATAACACTCTATCCTTAATTATTACAACTAAGCCAATCCTTCAGTTTCACCAAATGACATGCTTCCCTTCCTATAAAATTCAGACATAGGCTTAGATATATAACAGTAACTAAATACTAGACTGCTCTCTTCTTTCCATACCAGACCTTGGTATCAAGTCAGTTCGGATTATTTCAGGTAATCTTTTTTTTTTTTTTTTTGGATTATTTCAGGTAATCTTTTATGTTTCATAGGCAACACCAGAGTCATTTTAATGACCAACTGGCTTATTAAAAACTTCCAACTGACTTGCTAGAAAATTAATTTTTCACTTTTAGATTCCTAGGGCAATGTGTATTATCAATGTTAATTACTCCCTTCTTGTCACCTTTGGCTCTGGTAGAGTGTGCATTTCAATTTCAGTTTCTCTTACACATATAATACTAGGTAATTAACACCTTTCAAAAAATACAAATAAGAAGCATTGAGAAGGTTTTTTTCAATCTTCAAATTTCTCTAAAAGGTTTGGGTGTCCACACTGTTTTGGTTTTTGCTCATTCTGTGTTAGGTAGGACACCTAATTGTCTACAGTAACCCTTTTGAAGAGGATTATTTTTTAAGGCCAGTAAATTTTGCACCCGATGCTCCTATGAGGCGCCACTTATACTGCAGCCTATTGGAATGAGGCTCTCTGGAACGGAGCAGGGGTGACTTGCATAAATACTCAAGGCTGCCCTTCAAGTGTTTACCTTTAGGCATAATACAATTTCTTATTGTAACCTTTCTAAAATTCATTCACTAGAGAAAATGGTCAGTATCTGAATAATGCATTGTACTGTATTAAGTCAATCTTGGTGGGTAAAGAAAAGACGCCTAGCACACATTCAAGTCAGTTCTATTAATTCTGCTGTTACCGCTAGGATGAGCTACTTTAGGGCTTTAATAGATACAATTTACTCAATAGAATTGAATGGGTGGACAAGTACTAACTCACCAGGAAAAGGGTGATTTCTTTCTTTCCCACAGACAAGATTAAGTCTACTCCATCATTTACAGAATTCACTGCTGCTGCTGCTAAGTCGCTTCAGTCGTATCTGACTCTGTGTGACCCCATAGACGGCAGCCCACCAGGCTCCCCCGTCCCTGGGATTCTCCAGGCAAGAACACTGGAGTGGGTTGCCACTGCCTTCTCCAATGCATGAAAGTGAAAAGTGAAAGTGAAGTTGCTCAGTCATGTCCGACTCTTCGCAACCCCATGGACTGCAGCCTATCAGGCTCCTCCATCCATGGGATTTTCCAGGCAAGAGTACTGGAGTGGGGTGCCATTGTCTTCGCCACAGAATTCACTAGCAAGTTCCAAATACTCTCATGGTCATCACATGCTATATGCCTTGCAAAAGCTGAATTTCTGGGCAAGAGGTTTTTTTTTTTTTTAAGTTTTCTCTAAATAAAGTCTTATACAGAAATTTGAATACACTCTGAAGAGTGTTCTCACACATAAGGTTGTAGATGTAATACCTCATTGACCACAGAGTTTTTTAAGATATTGTGAGACTGGACATTCCTATGGAATGTTAAAACATTGTTCTCTTCAGCTCTAGGTGTCAGGAAACAGAGTAGGGCATCATTAAACAACTTCCAAGAAAATAGATACACTTTTCTAGATAGAAACAAACAGTATTCATCCATTCACCTACTAAAGGCCACGTATAGTTTTACGTAAGGGAATCAGGAGATGGACAAGACAGAGAAGATCTTGATCTCAAAAGGAAGTTCTCTGAATTATTCATAGAATATAGTAATTTGGGGGTAAAAAGAATCAACTAAGAATGGGTCAGTTCAAACAGCAGCACATCAAGCACTGAAATTCTCATGTAAGCCTAAATGGTCTATGCTACTAAGCAAGCCTTGGTTTACATCATGGAAATATTTTCTAGTTCATAAAAAGAACTGTCCATAAGAAACGTCTCAGGAAAATCTAACAGCAGGAGGAAGAGGTGAAGAAATCTCTTAACCCAAACAATCCCAAAGGAATACCTGATTTATGCAATAAATCTGCATTAGGCTCCTAATCTCTACCCATGTGCACACCCAGGAGCTCAGCACAAAATAAATTCACTCACTAAAGGTGGTCAATGCTATGTTGAAGATGCCAATTGAAATGTATGAGTGACCAGTGGAGATACTCAAAGCCCAACTGTGGGGACTGGATGAAGGCTTTCAAGACCAAGTCTTATTTTTAGATGAAGCAGACAAAAATGTTTTAGGCACAACCCATGTGAAGCAGCAAGATGTATCACGGAAAAACTATATTTCAGTCTTTGGACCATGAGGCCAGGGTGGTGGGAGATGAAACTGCACAAGTGAGTTGCAGATTAATTCATATAGACCAGGGGTCCCCAACTCCCATGCCATGGACCACCTGTTCACAGCCTGTCAGGAAGCAGGCAGCAAAGCAGGAGATGAGTAGCAGGTGAGCAAGGGAAGCATCATCTGTATTTTTATAGTTGCTTCCCATCACTCATATTACTGCCGGAGCTCAACTATCTAGTTGAAGGAAAATAAGCTCAGGGCTCCCACTGATTATGTCTTATGGTGAGTTACATAAATATTTCATTATATATCACAGAGTAATAATAATTGAAATACAGTGCACAATAAATGTACTTGAATCATCCTGAAACCATCTCCAATCCCATCGCCCCACAGTCCTTGGAAAAATTGTCTTCCATGAAACCAGTCTCTGGTGCCATTGAGGTTGGGGACTGCTGATATAGGCTATGGAGCTTGGGCTTTGTTTTGCAGGAAATGAGAGTCCCTAAAGTGCTTGAATGAGAAGGATAGGACTTACATATTGATACATCAGTCTAACTACAGACTAAGGAGCTAGACATCCAGGTCCTAGACCTATCAAAGGGGCTAGATGGCTTGGTTTGTGCTATACACTGATGTCTGTTCTCTAAAATTCACCCTCAACATGAAGGTAGGGCCTTTGGAAATGGCAGACAAAAGACATGCAACATCACTAATTATTATAGAAGTGCAAATCAAAACCACAATGAGGTTATCACCTCAATGATCAGAAAGGCTATCATCAAAAAGTCTGCTGCTGCTAAGTCACGTCAGTCGTGTCCGACTCTGTGTTACCCCATAGATGGTAGCCCACCAGGCTCCCATCCTTGGGACTCTCCAGGCAAGAATACTGGAGTGGGTTGCCATTTCCTTCTCCAATGCATGAAAGTGAAAAGTGAAAGTGAAGTTGCTCAGTCGTACCCAACTCGTCACGCCCCCATGGACTGTAGCCTACCAGGCCCCTCCGACCATGGGATTTCCCAGGCAAGAGTACTGGAGCAGGTTATCAAAAAGTCTACAAACAATAAATGCTGGAGAGCATGTAGAGGAAAAGGAACCGTCCTACACTGTTGGTGAGTGCATATCAGTGCAGCTACTA